GCAACAAAGTTGGGGCACGTTTCTGCAGCAAGGCGCAGGTGGTGTGGAAGAATGCGTGTGATAGCAGGTAGCTACGAGGCAGCGGCGTGTGAAGTCTGGAAGAATGTGGGTGGGTGTGTGATATCGCGGTTAAAAAGTTGACAAAGTTGCGTTCTGTTGACCTTGCGCTGTTGGAGATGAAGTCTGGCCGCTTGTTGGAGGTGAAAATGGTTTATCTGGGAGTCACTAGCGACACCATGAGTGGTTGGATGTGCTTAAGCTTCAATTCGAAAGAACAGACGCGCGCTAAGTCCGAAGAATGGGATCGGCTTCTGACCAGTGAGGTGTGCTCGTGGAAGTGGAGAAGGCACGGTAGGGGTGGGGTGAACAAGAAGGGAATCGACGGTAGGTATGGAGTACGTACCCAAAGTGAGAGGGGGAGATATGGGGGGAGGGGTGTGATGGGTAGTATAATCGTGGCCTCAGGCTTCAGACTCATCCCGGTGGCCCTGACGAAATGCCTCCGAGGCGAGCCAATGATAGCCTCTAATGAGGGTGGGCTCTATCTAGTTCTGACGCTAAAGTAGCGCGAACCAGTCTGTCGGGTCCGCGCTAGTACTGTGTAAGGATATCCCTGACGACCAAAGAGATGAGAACTGAGCGTATTGGCTCAGCGTCCGTTTCCCCCCTCCCTCTCTGCAGCAAAGTCGCGTTCCTCTCCTCTTGTTTCGCACCGGCGGCCATACGTGGCTATTGTTCTTTCCTGCTCAATCAAAAGGCATGGTCGAGGGTCTCAAAGTTGCATGCACCGTAGTCGATATCAGCCCATTCTTCCCTTGCCTTGTGGCAACTCACCCTTTTTCGAACGAGCTTCAAGCCAGGTAGGGGGGAGGGCATGAATGCCCGCTGTGTGGGGCAGGCATGGCATCAACCGGTTCTTCAGAAGTTCAGAGTCGAGTCTGTGATCGGGACCCCCCCCCCCCCAATCCGGCTTCCATCCCCATAGTAAGACATCAACTGTACGAAGGTACGGGCGGGATACTCCGAGTATTCACAAAAGAAATCAGTGTCTGTGCCGGTCAGCCAGATTATGCGGCAACCCTCTCGTGGCACGAAATGGATCTCAGATCGTGGCGGGCGGCAGCTTATGCTTATGGACCCTCCAGATCGAACCGTTTCCGCCTCTTCCCGCTCGTGTGTCCAATCCTCTGTCGCCTTTATTGTGAAGTTGCTGGTCCCGTGTCCATCAAGCTCGTGGGGACTGCCCAGTTCAAAGCAGAGTACTCCGTATGCCATCACTGCCTTCACTATGCTAGTTTGGATAGGTGCGTATACCAGGGTGCATGGCCTGGCATTGTACGGAGCATGTATGCTTGCCTTGATCGACAGTGGCTTGATCGCATAATAATCGCCGTGGCCAAGGAATGGGAATCACATGGAGACTCAATGCCATGGTGGGAGGCGAGAGTCGAGACAATGTGAAAGCTTTGTTCCACTGGCGCGTGTTTACCGATGCTGCAACAAGTTCTGCACGGGCAAGGGAAGCCCCCCTGACTCTTTTCTTTTTTCTAACGAGCCATGGCCTGACATGAGCATGTCTCTCTGGACGCTGGGAAGAGAAGAGCAAGGTAGTCCAGAAAGAAGGCAATTTCAACGACGAGTACCTAGTTCTCGGATAACAGTTTAAGCAATTCCATCCTGAAGGGCTCAGGTTCTTCCAGTGACTCCAGCCCACTCCAGTGCGGTACAGTTCGGTGCCCACTCAAGCAATGTCCAAGACTCTAAGTTGACGGGACGCGTCCCGGTCACACCCAGCGACAGGGAGTAAAGGTCGACAAGCGAGTCCTACGAAAACTGAGCCCCCGCTTTGTCCGAGGAATTGCAGCCTCAAAACCCACACGCCCAAATATCAGAGGTCTATCCTAGGGATACCCCCCGCCACCCCTGTCTCGAGAAGATTCCCACCTGGTGGTGCTGGGGGCAGCTGGGCACTGGCCGTTCTGTTCCGCGACTCTTGGCGTAGGGCGGGCCTGAGGTGACCAGACCTTAGGGCAATGCAGATTTCGGCAACGGTACCCTTAGCTATCGTAAGGGTCCCGCCCACGAAACTGATAGCAAGTAGGCAAATGTGACAGACATGAGAGGAGAGTCACAGTGTAATGTACCTTGGGAAGTGTCGCCGGAAGAGATTCTAAGTTTCTGACCTATCATTGAGTCAAGGTTTTCACAAGTGGAAAAGGATTTGGTGGTAAAGACACAGGTCAGCTTTTAGACTCATTGACCGTGTGATGATTAAAATCAAGGCAACAATACGCCGGTTAGGAAGAGTCAGTTATCTGAATTCTGAACTCCAGGAAACTGGATCTGCCTGGACTGGAGAAGGTGAAGGAGCGGACCCGGCTCGAGGACGGCACAGTGACGCACGCAGACAGACGGGTAAGGTAGGTAGGCAGGTACCTACTTACTGGGTAAGTATAGGTGTGGTACGTCGCATGTGTCGAATGGAAGGCAGGTATGCCGCACAGCAGGAAGTCAAGAAGGCAGGAAGGCCGCAGGGAGTCGGGACGGAAGGAAAGACTCACTCAGGACCTGGACGAGAATGGGAATAAGAAGCAGAATGAGAATTAGAATGAGAATGAGGCAGGCACACGCACGATACGTACCGCAAGATGAACGTCCCCACTTGCCTTTTCCTACCCCCGGCTTTCCCAGGTTGCCGACCCCGTTGCGGCCGCTCATGGAGCCAATCACACGGTTCATGCAATGACACCCGTGGACTCGGCCGTTGTCCTCTGTTGAGTCTCTTTGGCTCGACCCCCGAAGTACAGACAGAGTCCATGCTCACCTCACTCACACATCCTTTGCCTTCCCTCTCTTCCTCTTTCTCTCTTCACCAACCCCCGTTTTGAACTCGACCCGGACCCGAAACGCCGACCAGGGACAGCTCCCGACATTGAGTGTAGCACATCTTCACAACTTCTTTATTTTTCTTCGTTGATTATTTTACTGTGCCTTTTTTCGCGAGTTTGATTACCGGGTCATTCCAGCTACCGTAAGCGGATGGTCATTGCATTACCTGAGCCCCGGAGTTATGCTCCGACATCTTCAACCTCCACACTTGTTAAATAATTGAACTCTACATAATACGCCATCGCCTCTCTTTGACACATATCACTACACCTTACCGACTGGCACTCGCATTGCCATGCCTGCCGTCGCCGGTAAATGGCTAACATTTCTAAGACTTCCTCAATGCTATACTCTGTCCGCATCTCTCTCCAATCGGATAGAGATGCACTAAGAGCAGGGAGTTCACCCACTAATATAGCGTCAAGATCGATTTGATTCCTCTTTCCTCGTCTATCAACTAATCCACCACGGGAGCAAACCCGTATCAGTCCCGTCCCGGGGCAACCCCGTTGTAATGGTCCACGTCAATCTTGGCATATCTGGGTCCTTTACGTGCGTAACTACGTGCGTAATGTGCAACTCGGACGCAGATTGATAGCTCCCAGACGTCACAATGTCACCCGTTCTGCTACAGTCACCCACACTTCAATCCAAGTCTGTATTTCTCCCACACCAAACACAATACCCTTCCAGCATTTAGACTTGATAACATTGCTTTTCGACAACACAACTCCGGTAAGTCCATCTCGATTCTGCACTTTCCAAAGTACAGCGAGAGCCCTACCATCCACTGTAACCTCCGGCTGGCGGGGTTGTCCCAAGTAACTGGTCCTCGTACTGTATATGGGGGAAGAAAGAGCCAAGTTATCCCACAACCCCAGCAGGAGTTAGCCTGTGCCCGTGTCGCTTCTTCTGCTACAGCTTTCGTGCTACACTACTTCCTTGATGCCGCCTTGTTGCCCAAGTCTGTCATCTCGGATACTGACTACCAGTACACAATGCTATCAAGGATCATGGCCTAGGTAGACAATGCTTCCCGCCCCCATCCGAGTACATTCATCATGGCTCAAGGGAATCAGAGCAGCGGAATCGAGGGGGGTTTTTGTTTTATTTTTTCCACGCTGAATTAGACCCCATTGCCGATACTAATTAATCCCTGACATGCTCTACCTTACAGCTAGAGAGAGAGAGAGAGAGAGAGAGAAGCTGTGTACCGTGCACCCGTACGATCTAAGATCCATCAGAGAAGGCAGCACATCTGGCGCAGGTCAACGCTCATCCCCCCCCCCCCCTCCTTTGGGATTCTTCGCCCGCGAACGAGGAGCATCACATATCGAGCGTCTCCATCGCCAATGGACGTTTAATATATTCTAGACCCCATCTACCTACCTGTCCGCGCCATTCACGTAAGTACAAATCCGCCCAATAACTTTGCTCCTTCTACTTTACGAAGTCCAGGTAGCCGAGTAAGAGGAAGATGCTGGTAGGCCTGGATGTCGAAGCACACAGGCTCCAGAAAACAAAGACGTATCAATGTCGGACGAGCCAGGCCATAGAAACAAGCGGTTGTCCTCTTCACTCTGTACTGCGGCCGACTTATACCCTTCGCCACTCTCATTGGTACCTTCAAATAATCGAGAAGTGCAAGACTGGGTAGGTATGTATGCTCAGAGGCTCGGACTCACTATCAAGCTCTACTATGCTGAGCCTTGCTCTATCACTCGTTCTCTTCCCCACCCGTCCCACACCTGTCACCCATTTAGGCGCTGTAAGGCGGCCGCACGGAAAGAGACAGAGGCGAGACAGAGCAAACCACTCTACTGCGTACGGAGTACATTGGACGAGTTTCTGGGAGACTGGTAGACGTCCTGCTCCGGTGAGCTGTAACATCGCTACGGATACAGCCTACTGGGCTGGACTGGGCTGCATCTGCGAGTGTGACTGTCATGTCATTGGGACTGCTGCTGCTGCTCTGCTACTACTCTATCGTGTATGTAGGTATGTGTGAGGTGTGGTTCTTGCTGGCAATGGTAGGCTCTCAGAATCTTTCGCTCTATCCCCTGCTCTTTCTCTTTTACCCCCATCCATGGAGTTGTGGATACACACGCCCCATGCCCTTTTTTCTCTCTTTCCCTCGCTCTATCTGGTCTTTCCAGACACACGCCCCCCCCAAAGCCCCAAGACAAGACCCCAAAGCTGCTCGGCCGACTGAATCGACATGCATCTACAGAGTTGCACTACTGCGTACCCGTACATACCAGCCCCGGGCGGCTATCGTCTGCGAGGAACCATCCACACCCATGCCCCCGCATGCAAGTTTGTCTCTGTCTCTGTCCCTGTCTCTGTCTCTGTCTCTGTCTCTGATTCTGCCTCTATCGTTGTCGCCGTCTCTTCTCTCTGCTGTACTGTGCTTGTCCTGCCTGTCATGCCTAACCCCTCCTCCTGCTCTTCCTCGTCTCCTGCTCTCTTGGTCTGTGTGCCGGCCCTACCTACACCTACCTTACCTTCCAGACTACAACGGCCTCATGTACCTCGTGTACACTATCCTTCCCCCTGTCCCTTTTCTCGAACCCTGGCGATGGTCCCCGCTGCTTTCTATCCTGGAGAGTGGCACTCGTTCAAATCGTCTCGACTGGCAGGCTCCCCTTGCGAAAAAATACAAACCTTTGGATCGGCACCATCGCTGTCCACTTCGCTCGTCATTAATAGGCCGCGGCCATCTCGTCCTCGCGAGGCTCTCTTCTCATCCATCCCATTTGACAAGTCCAATTACGGAGAGGCAGACTTCAGTGACTCTTTGAATTCTTTATTACGGTCCATCTCCCCCCTTCTTATCCTCCTATAAGACAAGACAAGCTTCACACAACCACAAACTATCAGAGCTCTTGCCCACATCCAAGTCTTTGGAATATCCCCATTGCCACTTACACACCGCCCTCTACAACCTCAACACTTTCACTTTCACATTCCACACCTACCTCGATTGTCCACAACTCCTCCTGGTCATCCACTCGATCATGACGAGCCAGAACTACGTCGAACAAACCACTATGCATTCAGACGGAATATCAGACCCCATGCCCAGCAGGCGCACCTCAGTGGCACAGCCTCCTACCACAATCTACCCAGACCTCAGAAGCCCTCCATTTGCTGTAAGTCGACATATATATCCTTGAGTGGCTCCTCAGGCTTGTCTGACAGATACAAGGTCACAACTTTCAACCATCAGCCGCAACTCGGTGAATCCCACATGTTGACTCCAGTATCTGGTGGCGGCTCGCCCTGCATGCAACAAACAACAACTCTTCCCCAGTACCCATCAGCGATGGCTCCTATGCAGCCCCAGTCCAGTCCTTCCGGATCCTCCAGGATGGCTTGGCATAACACTGTTGCCATGAGTGCTCCCCAGAGCCAGGTTGGCTCTCCGATGGCCATGAACCCTCCCACAACCGAGAGTCATTTCGAGATGAACTACATCCAAGCAGAGCCTGAGCACGAACGCGAACCTCCCGAAGACTACTACTTTGGTAACTACACAGTTTCCGCGCCACCTCAATCGGACCAGGGCTCCATGTCCCCTCAGATGCCACCCCACGGCTACTACATGTCTCAACCTCAGCAGCAAATGATGCAGCCGCAGCCTATCATGGGCGAGCTGTCCATGGGACAAATTCCGCATCCTTCGCAAGCCCAGGCACAGTACTATGCCCAGCCGCCGACTCACACTTGGGTAGAGGACTCCGATATCACATCCTTCAAGTCTGAAGCCACCAGAAGACGTTACATGGGATACGCCCTTCCAAGCACACAGATACAACGCCCCGAGGTCGTTCGAGGACCTACCCGAGCCCGTCAAAACAACCAACAAGCAGCGGGCCGGTGCCAAAGATCTCCTCGCGTTAGAGGTCGAGGGGAACAGTCCGAGGCAGAATCATCTGAAGAGCCGACTGCCGATGACGAGATGGCGCATATCGACTCGCTCCCTGATGAATTCGTCGTCAAGCCGGAATGCCCTGAAGACGTCGCCTTCCTCTTCCATCGTCAAAGGGACATGATTCTCTCAGGTAACAAGGGCACCGGAATGTGGGACGTCATTGCGGGTGAGCATAGAGAGAGGTTCGGGATGACAAGCTCTGCTGCACGTTTGCAGATGCAGGTGACCAGAGGAAGATCCAACTTTCTGGAGTGGTCACTCAGAGATGTAAGTCATCTTCATGGTGTTGGGGTATTTTTGTGAGCAATATAACTAACAAGATACCAGAGACATAAACTCAAAATGGCGTTCGATCACGTCGATGCTTACTATTTCAAGATGGTCCATCGCAAGTTTAAGGAGCTCGGCGGCGGACAAACAACTGCGTGGGGCGCAAGCGACGTTGAGTACCTGGCAGTCGAGCGTGGCATGGTAGATTCTGGCTACACAGCCGAGCCTACTACTCAGCCGGGGAAGTCGCGGAGAACAAAGAAGCAGAAAACCCGCCTGAGAAACCTCGCCACGAGCAGCGCTGTCCTGCTTGACGACACAGTCGACTTACAGCAGAATCCAGAGCAGCGACAACAGATACTCGATGAAATATATGAGTACCGCGGCGAGGATCCTGAAGACGGTGTCGACGAAGAACCCATATTCAAGACGGTGGCCAGAGCTCGCCCACGCGGCCGCCAAGTAGAGATCAAGATGGAGGAGGAGAGCCCCGAGGAAGAGACGGCATCCTCGTCCAGCAAGTCCAAGGGCAAGCAGCCTGCCAAGAAAAGAGCACCAGCAAAGCCTAGGGCTGTCAGAGCACGCATGGCACCCAAGCCCAAGTTGGCCTGAAGAATCGTCGAGGTTCAAACAAAATCTACGACGCACACATCAACACCACCTGTGATGGTGACCTTCACTTCTTCCGACGGTAGCCTCCTACGAGGTTGGCCCTAGCATGCTATTCCCAAGCCCAAGCGGCTGTGACGATGTATAGATTGTTCCTTGTCATTTTGCATTCTGTTTCCTTTTGTTTTGATCTTGGATTTCTTGTTTTGGCTGAAAAGATACCACTCATTTCGTATGGTTTCTCATCCTGGGAGGGAAAGGAGGACGACAGGCGGCAAGGGCTCTTCTGCGTTCCGCATATCATTATCTCGCGTACCCTTAAATTTCACTGTCTATATTCATGTATGCCATTTGCAACAATTATTTAAAAACATACACTCATCAAATATCACCTTACATTGAACCCCTGTGCACACAAGGCCAACTACATCAGTCGCGAGCTTCCTTCGCCATCGTCGCGAATCTTCCATGTCGATGTCCTCAGCCATTACGAATAGGCTGCCTTGATACCTACCGATGCTATTACCCGACGACGCCGTCCAATTCGCCTGCCTGTTATGACAATGTGGGATGGGCCAAAACTCGCAACTCATCTATCTCCAGGCAGGATTTCCGAGTTCTCGGGACCAAGGCAGCATTCGCACTCGCCGACGCGCCCAATGTAACGAGACTACGCTCGGAGTCGTCTCATGACCATGGACTGGGGGAAGACAGCTCATCTACCCGGACTTTGGCCCATTCATGCCATCGTCATCAGGATACGCCAAGAGAAATAAAGCAACTTGTTCTCCTCTTCTACTGCTACACCACCGTCGAACAGCAATTACGACGACGTTGAGAGACGAGTTAGTACGCCTTGTTCGTCACATCAAATCCATGTTCATGCTTCATGTCGGGCTGAAGGGAGGGTCCCCGGGGGGGGGGGGGCTAGCCCTCTTCAACGGGCGCCCCGTCCGTGCCCTCTCTTCCTCCTGCCCCCCTACTGCCCAGGAACGGGCGAAGGCGAGGGTGATTGGGCTGTGGGAAGGGTATGAACGACCCGGAGACCAGGAAAGGCAGACCAGATGGCATGGAGGGAGAGAAGAAAGATGTGCCCTGCGCTGCGGTTGCGGGTGTGGCTTTTCCTCAACGGCGGCGCGGGTGGTGGTGGATACCCACACCGGCAAGAAAAGTACGCTATAAAAGCACCCGCTTCGAGTTCTCATACGATGAGCAGAGCGACTAACATCCACAGCCAGGCCGTGTCTGCGGCCCTTCTGGCCCGGATGCGACATGCTGCTTTTCCGCAGCCTGAGAAGTCGAAACTTTTACCCTTTTCAGACGGGATAGTGGATATCGGGTCCGTTCAGGGTCAAGGGGGGAAGGGGAGGGGACGGGGGGAGGGATGGATCGTAGCAAGAAAGTGTTTAAAAGAGGCCATCACTGGGGGGGGGGGGGCTTGAGAGACTGAGAGTGAGAGAGGGGAGAAGGAAAGAGGATCACAGAGGGAGGTTCAACTGTCAGAGTCCCATAGCTTTTTTGCAGTAACCGCAAAGAGGCATTGCAAGGTTATGGGGGGATTTAGTTGCACTGTCGCAGAGGGGGGCATACCTAGCGCGGTGCCTTTGTGACAAGGGGACACAAGGCACGCCGCGCAGGGCCAGAAGAAAGAAAAAAAAGGGCAGGGACAAGCATGGCGGCGGCGGCGCGCGCCAGGCAAAAGAAGGGTGGCACGGGTGGGGGAAGATGGGAGACGAGAAGGAAATGAGAACTTCACTGAAGTATCCGTACCCTCTTTGATGTTTCCCCGGGGCATCATCCCCGTAGGCTACGGAGTAGGTACACTTTTCTGCCTGCCAGACTCCCAGTGCCTGCTTACCTGCCTGCTTACCTGCCTGCGCGCGGCCTTGGTGATGGTCCGCTTTGGACCCTGATGTGTACGGAGTACGTACGGATAGAGGGAGAGGAGGAGACGGGGGCGGAGAGACGTCAGGACGACGATACTCTCTCCGTCTCTCTCCCTACGGAGTACACAACAAGTAAGGTAGACTCAAAGAGGCAGAATGTGAAAGAGACGGCGAGTGGTGGGTACCCCAGCCGGCGGCCCCGCAGAGCGGCTTCCGCGCACTTTGTGATTGTCGCCCTTTGCCGCCAAGTCCTGGCATTTTCGGCTTCCCGGAGTAAGGTTTCTTGTCCATTGTGTTGCCCATTTTGCCCATTTCCTGTTCCAAAAATCTCGCGAGCTGCTTTTGCGGACGCTGAGCTCACGTGAAGTGGGAAAGCTGTGAGAGATTCCGAATTTCCGGGGGCCTGTCCTGCCCTGTCCTGCCCTGGCTGCCTGTGTGAAGTTGCCGGGAGTTCAAATGCGGCAGGTAAAGTAAGGTAAGGTAGGTAATAAGAACCTGTAAGTCATCGATCGTCTGACTCCCCTATCAACCCATCTCTCTATATCTTCCCCCAAAAAAGTCAAAGCAAGTAATCAAGTCACGTAGTACAGAAAAACTTTAGGTAGTATAGCACAGAAGAATGAGAAAGACAAAAAAAGTTGTATAAGAGGGCAAGCAGCTATTCCGTGTAATTCGGCAGTGGCGCGGCAGGCTGGCAGCAAACCAAGCTCTCGGCCGTTGACGGGATAGGTTCGATCCGAGGCAAAGATGACGACGGGTGAAGAGAGTACCCTCCCCGATCAATGGGGCATTGAGCATTGGGCATCGGGTAGGATAGCGTGGATAGGCGAATGTGAATAAGAAAAAAAGTGAACGCTAGACAGGCCGGAATTATGCAATCAAGTCCGGACGTGACTACGTCCAGTCTAGTGGAGCATCTCTTCATCCTTTTTTTTCCTCTCTCTTTTCGCAGCCGGCTCGACGCGGGGACGGACGTCAACCCGCTTCGGTTTAATGCTGTCTCACAATTCCTGGTGTCCATGAATGGTTTAATCATCATCGTCGTCGTCGTCGTCGTCTTTGCGTCGTAGTCGAGTGCGGGCCCGAAGATTGCGCGCGCAATCTCACAATCTCAACCGCATTCATGGAGCGCATTCATGATCCATCGTCTCATCTGATCGAGCGGGGGGATCCCTTGAATGAATGTTGCAAAAGAAAGGAAACGGCTGACGGGTCGGAGGGAATCTCCTCTTCCCCCCATCCTTTCCCCCTCCCTCTTTTGCTCTCATGGGATGCTCATCCTGACCTAGAATGCTGACCGGTGCGGGTGTGTGACGGGAATGCGATTGCGGACCCGTGATTGATCCTCTGCTTTCCAGAATCCGGGAAGAGAGAAAGCCCTCGGCGAGAGGAGAGGGAACCACCGCGACCAGGGGCCTGGAAGGGGTGACGAAGCGACGAACCTCCCTGCTTTGCTTGAAGCACCACAAAAGCGCACGCTCGCAAGACAGACAGACACCAGCCCTCGCCGGGGGAGGGGGTGTGCCTTGAAAGCCCATCCCATGGTGCGAATCACGGGTAATGGTGCGTGCGTATTCCGTACTCCGTACCGTGCCCTCTTTCGTCTCCGTACGGCAACGGGTGCTAGGCTTGCATGGACCACTAGGCGTTCCGCAGTCGCAACGTTCCCTTGCTCGCGCGCCTTGGGTGTGGAGCCTTCAACCTCTCTTCCTCTTCCAGCCCCCACCCTCTCGAGTCCACGTCCGGTCTGGTCTGCAGAGACACTTCATCAACCGTCCCAGGAATTCGGTAAATTGGATGGAGACAGCGCGATAAAAACGCAAACTCTCATCTTGTCCAGACTATGTTTGCGGCCTGCCTACGCCGGGTATCTTTGAGAGGCGACGAGGAGTGGGTGGACTCAAGAGAAAGAGGGCCGCTGGTGCCTGTTCCCTTGTCCTTCAACGGGTCCCCCGCGGAGTCGAGCTCAACGCTAGAGATTTCACTTGATTTGTTCTCTCGTAATTGCCATTGTTCGGCTGCCGTCCGTGGTCTTCCGTTTCGCTGCTTCGTCTAGAGACACCGCAGCCCCAATGATCCCCAATGATCAGAGAGAGTGGAACTGGGGACGAGAGCATCCCCCCCTCTTGCTTGGCTCACGGGCCACTGTCAGCCATGGGGTTCCCGATAGTGTTGATCAACTTGGGGGTGCTTGACTGGGCTGAGCTGCCATCCTCGAAGCGATGTAGCCCCTTGTTGCAACTTGCCGTGCCTAGACAGGCTAACCTTGCCCAATACACACGTCAAGGTCGTCCACTTCGTTTTTCCGATGATCTTTCCAGGACAAGATCGTTTGTTATCTCACGCCATTGTCGGCGGCCGCCTCCATGGGGTGGTATCATGGGGTCGTAGGTGTGCGCAGCCCATTGTTCAACCCATGATTCTGGTCGCAGTAGCCCAGTAAGTTATGGTGTGACATCGAGTCACACTTGGAGAGTGTCAACCCCGGATTCTGGTCTTCGTAGGCGTCCAAAACCCGTATTGCGCCTGTTCCAACCGGTCTTCTTGATCCAACGGCGAAGCTGCGAAGCGCGAAGCGCGTGTGCCAGGCCGAAGAGACGATCATGCCATCCATCACATCTGCTATGCACTATATCCGGAATGAGCCTGCTAGATCACCGCCAAACGGGCGAAGGAGTGGTCGGTGATTCTCATCTGCAGCGGCTAAGCCACTACTTATGCGAAACCTAGCCAGTCAAATGGCTATCCGTCTTCTCGGGACGAATCAGAAGTGCAGAATAGAACCGCCTGCCGGGTATAGCCTTTCCCTTGCAGAGGAGTCGCAGCATCCGTACAAGCAGAACAGCAAGCAAGCCAATCGCGCCATCCAGCAGCGTCATGGAGACAATCGCTCACCCTGCTCTCCGCTTTTCCACCAGTAGACGCTCTGTTTCCGTCGTACTGCCAATGGAATGACTGCAAACAGGCACTCTGGTCCAGAGTTTCTGCAGCTTCTGCTTCGTTTTTCTTTCTTTGCAGGCCTCGTTCCAGAGCATCGGGTCCAAAGTCGGTGAAGACAATATTGCTCTTGTTCAGGGAAGGAATCCAAATCGATGTGCTCCTGCCTCATTTGGATGTTCGAAACAGACCCGGTGCCGAGTTGAATGGCTCGCCGTCTGGCAATCGACATGGCGTCGAACGTTTCCCAGGAAGAGGGAACGGGGGTGGAAGATTGCGCCCGCATTCCAGGTTTCCAGACTTCCATTGACTACTTTGCGACATCCACCCCGAGATCCGCTTTCGTGATCTAGAGCTCTCTGAAAATTCCTCTGATTTGGAATCGGGGGAAGACAGGAACTACGCCGCAGACTGTCAAAGGAGATCTGCAGCTCGAGGGCTGAGCACCTTGACTGACAGGGTGCACATAGCAAGAGGCTCATGCTTGCTGTACCACCGAGACATGAAGATGTGGGATGTACCTTTGTGAAGCGAGATGTAATCCTGGCCGACGGGCGTTATAGTAAAGTCATGATGGTAGACCGTAGCGGGCTACTCTCGCAGTAACTTTGGTGTCCAGGCGGCGTCGCCTCAGCCGCGTATCAGTGTATGTCAAGCCGCATACCCCGCGCGCTCAAAGAGGAACTTCACCTACTCGAGACACGTTCACTACCCTGGAAGACACGACTAATATGCGGAACATCGTGCGCGAAGTATCGAGGCTGGAGTATAGCTGGTGAACGACCATGATGAGTGGCTGATGTTCGACTGCTCAGCCTGCGAGATGGGCGCGGAAGGCTGAAGCCATGGTCTGCCGAATTGGCCTGGCGGTGTGCGCGGCCCGTTTGGCGGCCAGCTGCGGTTCCATCACAAATACCCAGGGGTGATGACCGGCTGGACGAGAAGTTCAAGTGGGCCGAACAGACGTCACAGCTTGTCGGTAACTCTGTCCCAATATGGCCCTCGCCGACAAAGTCGATGCTGAAGCTCGCTTCCCCTCAATGCTGCCTGAAACTGGGGCACGATTCTGATCGGAGTGGCTTGACGTTGTGGGGGCAGCACCGGTGATGGACCGCTGCGCTCCGACATTGACTATCATCGGTCCTGGGCGTGAGGCAAGTGTGCATCGTGTCGAAGTCTTCATGAAATAGCTTCGAAGTTGTGGGTTGGAACTTGGTCATGTAGAAGAAGAGGTTTCGCGCTTATGCGGCGCGCCTGTCGCCCAACAATAGAAGCGCTTCGAGAAAGCATCCTTCGATGAGGTTGACTTTGGAGGATTTTGGCGTTGTGGGGTTGTTGGAAGAAAGAAAGCTTCCCGTCAGTTAGCGCGAACGGTGGTGAGTGCACTGGCCACACCTTGTTCTCAGTGATGAGGTAAGATTTTGCGATGAGGAAGATAAGAGGGGCAGGTACAACCTTTCGACGTAAGGTAGGACTAAAGCGTATGGGAAATGCGGTTCTTCCTCCTCGACCTGATCAAGATAAAGCTTCTCTTACGAAGCTTACCTATGCCTTCTATCCATTTAAGTCACCACCTAGATAGGAGTTCCAAAGGTCAGCTGATCTCGCAACGTTTCCCAGCAAGTACAATCATCCTTTTCAGTTCCATACCTTACCGCATAAACCCCAGTTCGTGTTGCTCTTCATTTTCCAAGCTGCTCTACGTTCTCGGGGAATCATCGGGTATTCTATCTCTGCTGATCGAGCATATCCAAAGATGCGAAATGATTGTGTGCCTCATGCAAACGGCAAGTGAGAGCAAGACTTTATTGCCGTTGGCCGAAACTCTAGAAGGGAGAGAATAACATCACGACTTTATCGGCACCTTCAAGAAGCCTGATCGACAACTAACTCAAGATACGTTCGTCCAATCTGACTACACACTACAGCAAGTGCCAGAAGTTGAGGTGCAGCACTACAGCAGCAACGCACCGACTATAGGCATGCTGAGTCAGCAGATCCACCAATGGGAGGAAGATGACAGACATCGCATCCCACTTTGATGTTCGACGCCAGACACGAGACCTATCGAGGGCGGGCTACGTTTTTCAGTTCAACGTTGTTCCTTATCTTCTCTGCGAATATCGTCCTTTTTCGGTGATACCCATGTTATTTTTCAAAGAACAACTTGCTTGATGGCCCAAATTCCATGAAGAACCTCGACTTCAGTCCCGCATAAATCGAGAGGCATCTGCCGCTGGCAGCCGGCTGATTGATGGGAACCCTGCCCAGCGCCACAAGAGATAGCATCACCATGTTATCGCGATCATCCACCCTAAGCTACCTGTGTCTTTTATGGCCGACAGTTGTGTTTGCACTCAGTCACGCTCACCTTGCCGAACTTCGTAATGCAACTACTCAAGTCTTCCACCATGGCTGGGACAACTACATGCGCGTTGCATTCCCAGAGGACGAGGTACGCAAACACCTAGCATCTGCGAGGCATTGGAAACAGACTGACTTTGCATCTAGTTGCGCCCGATATCCTGCACACCGTTAACGCGCGACCCGGCGAACCCCGGAAACTACGATTTGAACGATGTCCTTGGCAACTACTCCCTCACACTCATCGACAGCCTTTCGACCCTGGCTATCCTCGCAGGGACACCCTCTGATGAACATACTGCTGTCTGGGCTCTGCAGGAGTTCCAGCAGAGCGTCGCAGCTTTCGTCGAATACTATGGCGACGGAAGACGCGGGCCGTCTGGGGAAGGGCGAAGGGCGCGAGGCTTTGATCTTGACAGCAAAGTTCAAGTCTTCGAGACAGTCATCAGAGGAGTCGGCGGCTTGCTGAGCGCGCACTTGTTTGCTATCGGAGAGTTGCCTATACCTGGCTATAACCCGGGTCAAACTTTCAATGAAGATGATGATTCCGATCCGCTGGAGTTGCACCCCATAGCATGGCCAAACAACTTCAAGTACGATGGGCAGCTTCTCAGACTGGCTTTGGACCTTGCAGAGCGGCTCTTGCCCGCTTTCTACACGAACACAGGGCTGCCGTATCCGAGAGTCAACCTACGACATGGCATACCTTTCTACGTCAACTCTCCACTGCACAAGGTGTCTCGCGATGACCCGGATTCGACTCGAGTGACGAACGAAAAGACGGATACGTGTAGCGCCGGCGCCGGAAGCCTTGTCCTAGAATTCACCGTTCTTAGTAGACTCACAGGCGACTCAAGGTTCGAACAATTGGCGAAGCGAGCGTTTTGGGCAGTGTGGAAGGCCAAGAGCGACATTGGTCTTGTTGGTAATGCAATTGACCCTGAAAAGGGCGAGTGGGTCAGCTTTGACTCGGGGATTGGCGCTGGCGTTGACAGCTTCTTTGAATATGCACTGAAAAGCCATATTCTATTGTCTGGCCATGAGCTGCCGAACGTTACCGCCTCAGAGCCACCCACTGATCGGCAGTGGCTCGATCCCAATACATTACACGACACACCTTTAACGCCTGAGGAGAACTCTGCTGGGGCGTTCCTGGAGGCGTGGCACCATGCACACGCAGCTATCAAGCGCCACCTATACAATGACGCGCATCACCCATATTACATGACTGGTCACCGAACTCGCGGGTACGCTTTCACAAGCTGGATTGACAGCTTAGCAGCCTTCTATCCTGGCTTGCTTGCGATGGCTGGTGAGATTGAGGAGGCCGAGGAAGCCAATCTACTATATACAGCTTTATGGACGCGTTACGGGGCGTTGCCCGAGAGATGGTCTGTACGTGAGAGACAAGTCGACTCAGGTATTGGTTGGTGGCCTGGCCGCCCTGAATTCATCGAGTCCAACTATTACCTGTATCGCGCTACGAACGACCCCTGGTATGTGCACGTCGGAGAGATGGTCCTCAGTGACATCAAGAGACTGTGTTACACGAAATGCGGTTGGTCCGGCCTCCAGAATGTCGACACTGGGGAGAAGGCCGATCGTATGCAGAGCTTTTTTCTTGGCGAGACCACCAAGTATCTATATCTGCTCTTCGACCCAGACCACCCGTTGAACAAGCTCGATGCCGCTTATGTCTTCACCACGGAGGCGCATCCTTTGATCATCCCTCGGAGAAGAACGAGGCCAACAAAGAAGCAGGAACGCCGCAAACAACACAGCAACGTCGAGGTCTATTACGACGAGAATTTTACGAATACCTGCCCTATCCCAAAGCAAGTTCCTCTTACGGGTTCTGTTCTGGCTGCGCGTCCCGATGTCTTTCATGCAGCGAGTTTCGTCAACCTGCACACCATTTCTAACCCACGTAGTGGAGTTGAGTTGGTTCCCGCCGGCAAAGGCAGCAATGGCTCGATATCGAGATACAAGGCAAACCATACTTTTTTCCCCTGGACACTTCCACGCACGCTCATCCCAGACAACGGCACCTGTGCCGCCCTGCCTTTCAAGCCTACACTAGTCATTGAGTTTCCGGCCAATATTCAACAGGGCAGCGTTGGGAGCGCCTTCAATAGCCTGTTC